ATGTCATCAGAAGCAATGCTTACAGTAAGAAGCTAAAGAACATGTAATCAATACCATTAGTGATTTAAACAGTTCTTTAACTACAAAGAACACCTGCCCAGTGCTCCAAGGAGAGGCAGAGAGGCTGGACTCCCTCATCTGTCTCACTGACATCAGTGACTAAGCTGCTGGACCACAGACTGAACTTCTGGGAAGTCCTTCTATTGTAGTTTAGCCCAATTAGCACAAATCATTTATGATGTTGAGGCCTCAAATGGTAGATTGAGGCACTCCAGGAATGCTAAAAACTACAGAATAATGTTTTGTATGTGCCTGTGCATATGCATGTACACACACAGAGACACCACACACACACACACACACACACACACACACACACACACACACACACACACCCCACAGGTTTCTTAGATCACATAACCCTGTGCTCTGAGAATTTTTATGTGAACAAGGTCTTCCTGAGGACAAACCAGACCCTTACCTTTACATTTTCAGTCCCATCGAGAAAACTGTACAAACAATTGTACAGTTCTTTTGAAGGGAGACAAGGCTGCATGTTGTGCCATAAAATCTAAAATAGCAACATCTGGATCTTGCTTTTCACCTGGTTCCAAGGGAAATGCATGACTCTGCTCTCCCAAGGAGGGGAACACATTTCACATTGTATTACCAATCTTAAAAGATAGAGCTCCCATAGCATATAGACTTGTACTGGTTGGTAAAATGGACTAAATATTTGTGCCACTAAAATATCATGCATGGAAGGTCCAATCCTGAGGTGAGTATGTTTGAAGATACAGCTTCTAAAGAGGAGAAACAGAGGAAGGGGCTATGTGAGGAGCCAGAAGAAATGATCTGCCATCCAAGAAGGGAGCTCTCACCAGGAACTCTCAACCCTGTTGAGCATGTACTTCAGCCTCAAGACTGGAAGAAATGAATGCCTGCTGCTTAAATCACCAACTTGTAGTATGTGTTGTATTACGGCAGCTGCACCTGACTGGGGCAAGTCTGTTTTGACCAAAGCAAAATTCACCGAATGAAAAAATAAGACACATATGCCTCCCAGTCCCTATAGCAGGAGCAGCAGAGGAGCCCAGACAGGTTAATGATTTGTCCTTTTAACGTAAAATATTAATAACGATGGGCATGTTTGATTCTTTGAAACTGTAGCCTTGTTAAATATTTGATGATGTGTGATGAATGAACAGATGAATGAATTAGCAAATGGTCACGTTCTATGACAGACAGAGCAGTGGCCCTCGCTCACTGCTCCAGGACACACAAAATTACATGTAATCAAGATTTCAGGCAGGGACATGATTAGTAAGCTGAAAGTGAATAGCAGCTTGTGATCTTCAGACTGATGAGCCAGATGATTCCACCTGCTTGTGATTATCTGAGGGTTGCATGGGGGGGGGGGCGGGGAGTGTGATGTGACTTATCTCCACCAAGATCCCCTTGTTTCTACACAAAAACAACAGCTTGATTCTAGGAGCACGTGTTCATTCGTATCGCTGTTTTTGATGTTGTTTAGCTGCTCCTTGCAGTGTCCTATGTGCTTTATTGTTTGCTGTGGGTCTAGATGTTCAGTGGCTCCAAGGCCCATGTGTTGGGTGCTGGCTATTGAGATGTACTGGAACCTTTAAGAAGTAGAAAGTGGGGGAGATCTTTATGATATTGAAGGGCACATTGAGGGGATTATGGGATTGTGGAATCCTCTTCCTTTTTGCATTCTGGCTCATGATGTAAGACGTTTTTCCTCCAACTCTACCCTCCTGCTACAATCTGCTGCCTCGCCATAATCCCTAAAGAAGATCAGACTAGAAAATCTAACTACGAGATAAAATAAACTATTTATCTTCACGTATATTTATCCTACTATGTGTATTTTTCTACAGGTACAGAAAGCTAAACATCATCCTGATGTCCGATGCAGCCTAGCACCTGGAAGAGTGTGGGAGTCTAACACTAAGGCACAAATAACGTTTGTTTGATCTCAGAAGGACATTCCATGCAGGTGTCTCATAAACAGCTTTTACAGTCCCCTTCTGTAGCTGATGCCTGCCTTTGGGCCTCATCACTTTGCCCAGGGCTTCTTTAGTGGGGGTATCACTCTTCAGTTATTCTCCTTGGAGGCAGACATAGAAGATTTTACAGGAAAGGAGTGTCCCTGCTTCAAATGAAACCCGTATCTACTTGCTTTGAAACCATCCATGACATACTGAGTACCATGCAACAGGTGTAAATATCTGCCACCTGACGGGACTTTCTCAGTCCCCCACATCTTCTCCCGGTCCCCATCTCTCTGCTTAAACTCTCTGGTTTTTCTTGGTAAAACATTATCTTTGCAACCATACGCATAAATTCTCAGGCAGAGGACCAGAAGAGGAAGGAACAAATGGGGCCAGAGAACACATGTTGAGAGGCAGAGATGTGGGATTCTGTGCCTGCTGCTGCTGGTTTCTGCACAGGGAACTTGGAGCTGGAAATGCATCCCAAGAGTGGTGCTCCTTTTGGCTCGGAATGCCAAGACCCTTGCCAAGTTTCCCCCATCATTAAAATAAGAACCCAGCAGACCTATACTGAACATCAGTGGGTACCAGACCCAGAGTCAGAGGCTTGCTATCTGGTCCCGATTCCATCTTCATCTTAGGCAAAGCATGTGAAGGATAAGCATGGGATAGGTAACTACTGTGGCTCCTCCTGTGCCTACAGAATCTTGGCATCCATGCGGCAGCCCCAAAGAAGTGTGACCCACTAATTGAGGCCTTTTTGGTTTTGTTTAGGAAATATAAAAGAGAAAGCTTAGTGTGCCATTCCTTGGGCACAGCCCCCAACAGATACCCAATGCCAGCTTCAGAAAAAGACTTTATCTTCTGGGCTCTTTCTTCCTGACCAATTTTCCTGGCCTCAGACTTCCAGGGCCCCTGCTCTCTTCCAATCCCCACACTAAATTTTCTTTTTGGAGGGCTTTGACAAACTCACTCATTCCAAGGAATAAATAACTGGCAAGAAAACACATGAAACTTCCCTTGGTTCTTTATGATTTTGCTAAAGGTAGCATCTTTGTTGATCTTCAACTATGAGAGCAAAGAAATTATTGAAAATTTTTAAGTCATTGAGTAATTTCAACAATTATGATTGAGATATGTAACGTGTTTTTTACATCTTTCGCTGTGTTTTGGTTTGGTTTTTCTTCCCATTATTACGCCGCAGGATTGGTAGCTGCTTCTGCTGACATGTGGATCTGGAACTCGGCGTGAAACCAAACAGTAAATATTTAATGGATTCTTCCAAGCATGAGAGCTTATTAGAATGACTTTGCTCTATTCTCTCATGTATCCACACATCCTGGAAGTATTCCCAGGGTACAGTAAGATGCTTAATAAATATTCATTGAATGAGTAAACAGACATTATCCTGTAGGAAGAAGAATGCTGGGAAGGCAAATAAACCAGAGTTCCCCCTCTTTGGGAACACACACAAGCACTCAAATGTGAAAAGTCAATGTGAGAGATGTCACACAGTAATATGCAACTGTTACTATTTACCAAATTCAGAAATATAAAAAATGAAAGGGTACCCAGTGTCATATGAAAAGTAAATTTGTGTAATTAAATAAATTTTTACAATGAGTAGTAAGGTTAAAGAACTGAAGGACAGGGGGAGGGGGATCCGTCCAAAAATCTAAGTAGATCCCACTGGCTCCCGAGGTTTCAGAGTGAGATTGATTACAGGTCATTAGATTGATGATTATTATTTTGATCTACAAGAAACATATACTCATGGAATACATGCCCACACTCTTCAAGCCTCCACAGTGGAGAAAAAGCACCAGGTTCTCTTCCAATTCCAATTTTCTAATGCAACATTTACTGTACACAGAGGACGAAGTATAGTTGAGCCTAGAGAGTTTATGTTAATTATCCCTGCTAACCAATGAGGTGGTACTCTTGGAATGTGCATTGTAAGAACCAATTCTTTCATAGTAAAAGGAATATCCTAATAAATTAAGGCCAAAAAGAAGTCAGATGTATGAACATTAACTGTATGCTAAATACCCAAAAGTTGATTATCATTTTTATTATCAGAAGACTATACTTAAGACTTTTCAGAGAACAGATCTGGTGCTATTTGGAAATCAGCTTGGTATTTCTCTGTACTTAGAAGTTACCCTGCTTGCTTTTGGGTGCAGACATGGTGGAAGGCGACTTCTGAAAGTGAATATGATAGTGTTCACGTGGACCTCTCAGCCTCTGTCTTTGAAGTCTAGGATTTAGTTCTAGATGCTCAGTTCTCAATCTGAAAGCTGTTTCAAACTTTTCTGTTTTGCCTGTGTTTTATAACAATTAAATGATTCCAAGTCCCAGAAAACTGGCATGTAGATGACCACTATCCCCTAAACTTTGAGTGCCTTCCTCACTACCTGCCCCCCTCCCTTTCTGCTTTCATTCTCACCTCTTATTAATTCTCTTTCTTTATCAACAATCCCTCTTTCCATCAGGTCATACAGCACACAGATATTCACAGATTTTTTTTTATTATAGTATTGAAACATACGAAACCTCCTAGTTTACAAAACTTTGTTAAATTATTAACAGGTCTATGGGATATATTATACAAAATTAAAGATCTACACAGAGACCCAGCAATTGTTAATAGACATGATAGAAAAATGTCCACCTAGTAAATTTCCACTGAGCATTTTAACAATCCTGGGAACAACAATCAATGTCCTCGGTAACATTTCCCTCTTTTATGTCTATCAGGTTCGTAACACACAGCGATCCCAAAGAACAACATGCAATAAAGGAGTAAGCCTTAAACTGTACTTGAAGCTCTGGCTTCTTTAGCAATCTGTTTATAGAGATCTCATGGAGTTATCCATCTGAGCCACATTTTAAAGGTTATCCTGAAGGGATCGGTGCCTGCTTTTCCAGGAACAACATGACCCACACTGATGTTTGCCCTCCTTTGAATTAGTTTAAGGTGCTCCTTACCTGAGAGAGTGACACTGAGAACCAGAAGGACCAGGAAAAAGCCTGGCATGATGTCTGCTTTAGAGAGGTGATTTCTTCCTTTCAACCACACAGCATTGCCCCTGGAAAGGAGCAGGGTTGAAAAACAAAATACAAGTGGTTCAAAGTCCAGATGGAACCCAAGGGGATCATGACCAGCTGCCTGAGATGAAAATAGTCACAGGTCATCTCCCTTCCGTGTGGGTTTCTTAAAGTGCACTTCACTGATGCCCAGTGAGCTGTCAGGTCTTGTGAGGCTAAAACATCTCTGGGTCCTAACTCCTGACTTATTATTTCACTCTCTTACAGAGAGAGAATGGGATGAGTGAGAAGGATGAGGCTAGAGAAGTCTAAAATATTCCTGTGGTGTTTTCTTGTGAGTATAAATCTGGGTAATGAGGATACCTGCATTTCATGGTCTCCGTCATGGAGGTTAGTGAAACTCTGCCCACAAGTAGCTTTTCAGTTTCGACCAGGAGCTCACAAGTGATGATGATGTCCATCCACCTTCCACGTCTAGTGAGACTTGTGCATCCTGATGTTAGACTATCTCTTTGTTCCCTTGAACCTTCTGGTCCCCCTCCTCTGGGCTGCAAGAGACGAGCTGGTGGGCATGTCATCTCTCTGTTTCTCTCGGGAATCTGTAACATTGCTCTTCCTGTTCCTCCTTCCTCATGGTCGATCAAACAGCTTACTTTTCCTCTGTACTCATGAACACGCAGAAGGGGGGGGGGGGGTCTAGCAGGTACACATTTAATCAAATGAGCAAATGGGGCCACATAGATAAGGTGGCCAGAAAGACAGACAAGTTACCTAAATGTGACAGATTATGGGGCAGCCTTGAGGCACCAAATAAATTGGACTTTACAGAGGTGGATTTTGTGCAGTTTTGGGATTCTGCAATGATGTCTCATTAGTCTTCTACTAGTGTGTGTTAGCCAGCTTCCGGTCACTATGACACATACATGAGATCAAGAATTAATAGCAAAGGATTGAGTGGGGCTCACACGGATTTCAGTCCTGTGATCAATGGGCCCATCACTTCAGGCTTGTGTCCAGGCCATGCACAGGCAGGATCGTGCAGGAAAGGGTGTCCTATCATCAGTTTTCAGATGCCCAGATGGTGCTCTGGGGTGAAATATCACAGGATGAAAGGAGCCCTGTCATAGGAGCCAGGAGCCCCAAGCTTGGTCTCCTATCTATCCTCCTAGGGCTCCCTTTTGGTATTCTGGCCCCACATCACTATTCCACCCTGCCTATCTGTGATGTGCACCCCAAGCTCCAGGGGGAGGCCTGAGATCTTTCTTCCTGGATCTCCATGGCCTGTCACACACTAATATTTAAGATTAGTCCTTGAAGGAAGACAGGAAGGGAAGAATCCATGCTGTCTCAGGAATAATTTGGCCATCACTCACCCTGATGTACAGCAAGGATCCCTTTTCTTCCTGGGAAATCATATATATGTATATTTGTCATTCCATTATCGGGCAGGAAATTCTCAGCATTAAAAAATTCCCATCTTTTAATCCAGGACAACCAAAGAGTCTGGCAGGCTTTCAAACTCCTGTAGCCTTCAGTCTGCCTTGACCCCAGTGGATAGGTCAGTGGCTATCAACATGGTCCCTCGGGATTGGCAGCAGCAGCTCCTGGTGCCCGGTCTGCTGCGCAGGATTCCATCAAGACCATAAAGCTCCCTGCCTCGCTGAGGGATGCAGTACACCCCTCCACCCAGGCATGATAGAAGTGGTCCAGCTTGCTAGAAGAACAGCCAGCCTCTGCTCTTAAGTTTTGGGAAGCCCTCTTCTCCTTTCTGTATCGGAGGGGGGTTCTCTACTCCATCTACTGTAACACCTCAACAATCTTTCCAAAGAGTCTACATGGGCTTTAAAGAGAGGCAGGCATCCAATGTTGGAAGATAAGTTGTCTGTAAATAGCATCTGCCTTGGGGTCTCTGCAAACACAAATGCCTGCCTCCCTTCCTAAAAAAGTAAAACACAGACTGCGAACAAAGCACCGCTTATCTCTCAAAAAGTGGGTTCTGAGGCAGGGATGCACATTCTTCTCGCTGCTCTGCGGCAGCAATGCACATCATCCTGGGAAATGCTCCGTGTGCCCAACCAAGCAGAAATAACCAGGAGTCCTCCATCATCATTGGAGAGCAAGCGCCAATCGAGGGGCGGAACTCTGTGGATCAATACTGACCCAAAGTTGTTTGGTGGTAGAAGAGGCTCTTGTCCCTCTCCTAGGGCTCTGGGGCCTCTCCTGGACTGCCTCCATAAAAGACATACAGCAGTGATGAAAGTGAAGTGAGATAAAAACACGCAGAGTTTCCATGAGGGAAGCAGGTCAAGCTGAGGGGGTTTACACTGTGAGAGTAGTGCCATCCATCAGCTGATAAGAACTCTCGTAATCAGCCTTCCTCATCCAACCACCACCAAGGTTCTGGCCCCTCCCCTCTGGCACCCATGAACATGCTTGCACACACAAGTCCACACACAACCAAATGATTGGCTAACTTATATTCTTCACCTGAACTGCTACCCTTAGACTATGAAGTCTGATACTGTCAAAAAGAACAAAGCAAGTTATCACGGATGGTTTGGGGTGGTTCCAAAGTATAACTGAGTAGGTCCAGAGCTAAATGAGTGAGTGGAAATGAGGCATTGTTTAACCAAAGCACTTCAACCTGGGAGAAGGTTGAACACATAATGCCATCACACTTGACGCCTTAAAGAGGTGGTTCTCAACTTGTGGGTCTTGATCCCAGAGACCAAAGGAGCACACAGTATTTACACTGTGATTCATAGCAGTAACAAAATTACACTTATGAAGTAGCAACAAAAATAATTTTACCGTTGGGGGGAGGGTCACCACAACATGAGGAACTGTATTAGAGGGTTCCAGCGTTAGGATGGTTGAGAACCAGTGCCTTAAAGGCATGGAAGATGTGTCTCAGAGAACTACATAAATATAAGCACCGGGTAGTCACTCAGCCAAGCCCAACTTCACAGCTTTATCATCCCCTGCGGATGACAGAATCAAAATACAGACGGTCTCAAAGGGCTGGGATGCGTGGTCCATGCTAACCAGAGATAATAACTTAATTAGTGACCAAATTTATGTGACTCGAGACTAAATATGTCTTTCTACTGTGTGATTTTCTTTAAACCATTCATTAAAAATTACTATGTTGGCCAGGTGGTGGTGGCACACACCTTTAATCCCAGCACTTGGGAGGCAGAGACAGATGGATCTCTGTGAGTTCAAAGCCAGCCTGATCTACAGAGTGAGTTCCAGGACAGGCTCCAAACAGAGAAACTCTGTCTGGGGGAGAGGGGGGGGAATTACTACATTGTGTCTATTAGTATGTGTGCACTCCCACACACCTACAAGATACAGCATATGTATAGAGGCTGAGGACAACTTATAGGAGTCAGTTCTCTCCTTCCACAACATGAGTCCCAGGGTATCGAACTCAGGTCATCAGGTTTGGCAGCAAGTGCCTTCACCGGCTGAGCCAGCTCACTGGCCCCCTTTCCACAACTTTTTACGAAGCTATGCAAACCATATCTCCTTGAGCACTCCGTTTAATGAGTGTCCTTGGTTGCAGAGAGTGTCATTGCATAATCCTTAAGACTTTCATTGGGCAGCTGGACCTCAACAGGATCATCTGGCATGTGCATAGCTTTTGCTTGGTGTCATGGTATAAGAAAACATTCTCCCAGGGAGGTCAAGAGACGGAGAGTCTAGAAAGGGAACTATTAGGAATGATGAGAATTGAGAGTAGGAAAAGCGAGTCTGAGAGGCTGCATTTGTGCTATGTAAAGCTTGCGTGTGACAGCTAAGCCCTGCATCACCACCATCCTACAAGCAACAAAACCAAAGTCCAGGATGATGGGGTCATTATAAAAAAAATCACACAGATAAATGGCTGCAAAGTCAGGGTCGGAACCGATTCTCCTACAGCCCAACACTCGTGTCTTTGCACTGTTTCCAGAGCCCTGGGTCATAAGGACCAGCCCCGGATCTAAGCACTCACCTGTATTAAAATGACAAAGAAAAAATATAAACTATGGATAATTCACTTAGTTACAATGTGAGCCAGTCTCAAATTCTCAGTTTGCATCCGCACATCTGAGTTACAGCTCCAAGAAGGGATAGAACAAGAGCAGAGAATATGACCAGACTCCTTTCTCCTAGGCTGCCTTGGGTTGCTAAGGGGATGGAGAACATGTTGCTCCTGACATAGTATTTCCTGTGAGCAGCCAGAACTGAAAAAAAGGTGGTGGTGGTG